GGAGGAGGAGGAGGAGGAGGAGGAGGAGGAGTGGTGGTAGTAGTAGTAGTAGTAGTATCTTTAGTATTATTAGTATGATTAATATTATTCGTATTATTGTTGTTGTTTGTCCAGTAATCCCCTTGCGGACGGCCATCCCCATCATCATGGGCACCAACATCGGTACGTCAGTGACAAGCACGCTGGTGTCCCTGGCTCAGGCCGGAGAGAGAGAGGAGTTCAAGAGGGCGTTTGCTGGAGCTACGGTTAGTCAATCTCCGCCCTATGCGGTTTCTCTGTAATGTTTTAAGCCTCCATCACCATCATCCTTAACATCTTCATCATCGTCATCATCATCATCATCATCATCATCATTCTTTATCGTTATCATCACCACCACCACCACCACTTTCATCATTATCATCATTATCATCATCATCAACATCATCATCATCATCATCATCATCATCATCATCGTCGTCGTCGTCGTCATAGTCGTTGTCGTCAACGCCTTTCTCAACCTGCATCAGGGTATAGGCCACGAACAAATTATTTCCACCTTTCCATATCCTGGGCATAGCCTCTTGATATTATTCCATGTCTTCCCTCTTTTCTGTACGTCATTCTTTGCGACTCTTCTCCAAGGTCCATATGGTCTTCCCCTTGAAATCTTCCCATCGACGTAGTTTAGATCTTTTAGGAGGTGGGTTGTTCAAACCCTACTTACCTGGGATAATTGGGAATGCATTCCAGTAGACCGATGGAAAATAATACTTGTTTTAAAAGAAACAATCTCAAATGGAAATCGAACTCACGTCCTTTGTGAGTGGCGGCAAAGTTATTATAACTGGTACACCGCATACGACTGTACCCACTGACTAATTCTTTCGTAACATTTGAAGGGATTTTTGTTGTTGTTTTGTTTCATTTCATTAGTCTTTTGTACGTGTATTGGCCTTTCTGCATGTGTTTGTAAATGTAGTATGTGTGTGTGTGTGTGTGTGTGTGTGTTTGTCTGTGTGTGTGGGTGTGTGGGGATGGATGTGTGTGTGTGCGTATGTGTGTATGTGTGTGTACTATGTATATATTTATAGGGAAACCTTACCTCCCTGCCCCCCCCTTTCTCGCCACCAGAGGAAATCCATCAGAAAGCCGTCGTCCCAATTGCTTGACATTCTTTTTTAGCTTTTATTATTATTATTCTCTAAGGCTTGAAAACAGTGGGAACTGAGGGACGAGGGTCCCGCTTGTAGAGCCGGATGCGTATTGACCTACGTGTCGGATGAGTTGTGCTTTTTTGTTTTTTAATCCCATCGTATCTGATGTTTCCTTTAAGCCAATTTATTCGCCTTCGAAATGACTTGTTTATGTCTATTAAAGAGTTTCAACTGATAAAAACAAGAGAAAACGAAATAAGAATTTGAAATGAAGAGTAAAGGGGGAAAATTCAAAACGCCCAAACCATAACCCTTTTCTTCAAATCCCCATCGTGCAACACATTGACGACATTTAAAAAAATTAAAATAACACCTGTCTGAAATATTTATTAAGTGATAAATATTTCAACAGTTTCATCCGGAACTTCTAAGAACCCAACCCATGAAAGAAATATAGTCTCTGGATCTAAACTGGTAGTTAGTAGGAACATGTGATGTCACCATGTGTGCGCTTGTAGTCTTCAAATTACTCACTTGTATTATGATATCATGTATTTGTTATTGGGTTTTTATTTTTTTAGGTATTTTTATTGTTGTTTTGTTTTGGTTTTGGTTTTGATTTTGGTTTTTTGTTGGGTTTTTGTTTTTGTTTTTGTTTTGGGGGGTTTTTTTTTGGGGGGGGTTGGGGGGGGGGCTGTTTTTAGTGGTGAAAAATGTTGATTCACCAGAACGGGGTTGTTGATGTGTGCCAAAGTACGGAATATCGCTATCTCTCTCATTAGCCCTAAATGAGATTGTCGGTTAGCAAGGCCGTCTGACGTGGTGGAAATCTGAGCAAAGGGGAATAACTCACTAGTCCTACTCCGGTTTTTTGCTCCCTTTGACTTGGTTATATTGTTTGCTCGGCGAAGGATAGGCCTAGTTGAAAAAGGAAGTATTTGAACAGATTGTCTGCACGTGTACACTTCGACCTTCAAGGTGGTTTTGTTTGCTGCGAAAAGTCTGAGAACGGCCTTCATTGGGAGTGGTGGCAGTTTTCGGGGG